ACCAGAACCCACAGCAAAGGAGTCAGAAGAAGAAGTGTCTGAATTTTTCGGAGAAGCGGCGGTATTACCAGAACCTATGGAGGAACCACCGCCACCAGAGCAAGGGCCGCAAGAAATTGAAGTCATCGGTGCTGAGTACAGTTACTTTCGGATTCCAATGAAGGGACTCCCCGTCCATGATTGGCCAACACCGAAGCCGCCACCGTCAACGCTTTTGCTCGTCACGGGCAAGCAGGTTGATGTCGCCGACACTGATGACATCATCGGTATTCCGTGCGCCCTCCTGGAGCAAAACTCTGTTCGAGCCTTTCCAGCTGACACCGACGCCACCGCTGACACGGGTCCTAGAAAGAAGCAGGACGACGCATCAGCACGGCACAAATATTATCAGAAGACTGTTGGCTATCGTGCGGATCCTGAAACCTGGCACCAGCGACTCGGACACCCCTCACACGTTACACTCAAGAACTCACTTAAGGCCGGAGTCTTCGATGATGACGCGCTCCTCCTGCCTCGAAACGGTTCTCTCACTGCGGACTCAGCTGACCCATCGTGCACCGTCTGCCCAACAGCGTCGCTCACCCACAGGCCGTTTCCCGACTTACCTCCGGGATACGAACGATACAAGCCGCTGGACAAGGGCTACAGCGATTTCATGATCCTCAGCCACGAAGGGCTCGACGGTGAACAATACACGCTTACTTTCATTGACGCTTGCACGCGCTACGTCTGGGCCATTAACACTGACTGTCGCTCCCTTGCCTTCGAGTGCTTCGTGGCGTGGATGAAGCGGGCTGAGCGTCAATCCGGGCTGAAGCTAAAGAGCTACCAAACAGACGGGGGTTTGGAGTTTTTCTCAATGGAGTTCAAGGAACTCTTCAAGCAGAAGGGGATTGAGCACCTGGTGTCCCTGCCCTACGCTCACGAGCAACAAGGAGTAGCAGAATGGACAACAAGAGCCTCGCTACACGGATGAGGGCCCTGATGAAGCAGTCGGCCATCCCAACCAAATACTGGCCGTTTGCGATGAATCACGCTGTTCGGCTGCACAACTTGCTGTCCTCCCGAAGCATCGAGAACAACAATTCCCCTTACAGGGCATGGACAGGCAGACAAGCGGACACGCGTCTGCTTCGGGTGTTCGGCTGCATGGTACAGTACAGACCCCACACTGCAAGGACCGGAAAGTTTTCTGACCAGGCACGATGGGGGATCCACCTCGAAATCGAAAAGGAATACAAGGCGTGGATCGTGCTGGACTACGCGACACATAAAGTGACGAAATCACGTGACTGCATCTTCTACGAGAAGCTAACCCTGCTACTGTTCAAAGAGCACCGGGAAGCTGACAAGGCGCCAGAGAGGGTCTTCGAGGGACATCGCAGCTTCGCCACGTCACACGACGATGCTGGCCTGGCGGAAGATGCAGACGCAACCGATGTCACCCCGATGGATACAGCACCCAGCATCCCCCTTACAAGCCCACTCCAAACTCCAACCTTCATCCATGTACAACAATTCGATCCGGAAGAAACGACTCGCGAAGCTCACAACTACACCAGTGAGGCGCGACGATCCCCCGATGCAGAGTTACCACAGCCCAACACCTCGCAAGACACCCTCCGCCTCGGCAACGAAAGTGACGACGACGTAGTTGAAGTTACTAGCTTCCACGACTACGACCGCCTCCACTACGAAAAGACCAACGAAACCGGCCTCCGCGTTCTCGGTCTCGCCGTCGCTGTTCGCCACGACTCTCCCAAGGAACCAACAACTATTCACCAAGCTCTGTCTGGCCCAGACAGCGAGAAGTGGAGAGCAGCCATGGCCGCAGAAGTCGCATCGCTGAAAAGGCGTGGCACCTGGAAGCTGGTCCCTCGGTCATCGGCAAAGGGGAGGAAAATTCTCAGCGGCAAGTGGGTCTTCCGCATCAAGACCCTGGCTGACGGCTCCATTGATAAATACAAGGCGCGGTGGGTGGTGCGCGGCTTCGAACAAACGCACATGGTGGACTTCCCTCACTTATGCACCTGTCGGACGCCACACCTCGGTGCGCATCCTCATCTGCATCGCAGCCGTCAAGCAGCGTCCGCTCCGCCAAATTGATGCCGGCAGCGCTTTCCTTTACGCCCCTGTTGACGCCATCATCTTCGTCGAGCAGCCACATGCCTTCGAAGAGAACGATGGCGCCGTGTGTCTCCTTCAGAAATCCCTTAACGAGATTAAGCAGGCACCTCGCCTATGGCAGCAGTATCTCCACTCCGTTCTCTTTGAGCTCGGTTTCACCCAGCTGCCGCATGACCTCGGGATGTACAGACGGGAATCACGTGGCAAGTTCATCCTCCTCGTCGCCTACGTCGACGATCTCCTCTACACTGGCAATGACACGGAGCTGCTGGACCAGTTCGAAGCTCAAATCAAGGAGAAGCTCGAGGTGACGATCAATCACAACGTCACACAGTTCTTAGAACTTAATGTCACTCAGTCCGCTTCTTCCATTCACCTCTCCGCCGCCAAATACGCCGAAACACTCGCGAAGCGGTTCGCCATCGCACCAATCAACCTCACCACCCCCTACCGCACTCCTCCTCTTAATCATGAGCCGGACACCACACCCCTCTCCATCGACGATCATCGGCTCTACCAACAGCAGCTGGGACGTCTCCTGTTTGCCGCCGTCACGTGCCGGCCCGATCTCTCCTACGTCGCAAGCCAGCTCGCACAGTACCTGAAGCGACCTGAAGGGGAGAATCTACTGGATCTACGCCGAGCACTACAGTACCTCATCTCAACTCCTAACGTCGGCCTCACCTACGAAGCTAACCTCACCGCTACTCTGCAGCTTCATGGCTACGTAGATGTTGACCACGCAGGGGATGTTGACAACAGGCGCTCCCGCACAGGATTCATTTTTCAACTCCAACCTGCTGGACTCATCTTCTGGAACTCTCAGAAACAAGAACTTATCGCCCTTTCGTCAGCTGAAGCTGAGTTCATCACCGCCAGTGCAGCTGTTCGCGAAGGACTGTATCTAATGGAGCTCCTGCAAGAAGCGAAAGTGACGATGAACGGGCACTTCACGTTACTCTGCGACAATCAGAGCGCGATCAAGATCGCGAACAAGCCCGGCTTCGTAAACCGCACGAAGCACGTCGCACTCCGCTACTTCTTCGTCAAAGACGAAATCGACAAAGGAAGAGTCAAACTCACGTATTGCCCAAACGGTGATATGGCAGCTGATTTCCTAACGAAGAAATTGCCACGTCAGCAGTACCAACACTTCGCCAACCTCTGCGGGATTACCAAGAAATTCTACATGGCCCACCTTCAGGAATGAAGGGGAGTGTTGGAATAACCGAAAGGCTGTTAGAAGCATTCCCGAAGGCATCCCACTAACGCATCAGCTGTTGGCAGAACCAGGGCACTGTACCAGTACCGCAATAGCTCATATAGAGCATGCGGAAGGTCGAGGGTCACCCGAAGGTCAACCGTCGAGGGTAATCAACGGTCGTGACCCTTGACCCGCCAAGTAACCGCGCGACAGTTGTTCGCTGCAACATGGTAACTGTCGAGAATGGGAATAGTCGTGGTTACTGTAGTTATGTAATACAGTTAATAAGGGAATGTACCCCTCAGAGTACATGGCTAGTTAGTTTGCTATTTAATCTCTTGTACTCCTATCCTTATTGATCTTGTTCTCTTTCAACTATTACTCAACAAGGTCACTACAGAGACTTTGTTGTCTCCTCCTAAAACTTAGCAAGCTTATCCTATTCACTTGATCCTTCGGTTACATCAGCACCTGACTAGGTCCTTTTTAGGACTGTAACAGTGTGTGTAAATTTACATTCACTTTTGCATGTGCACTTTTGCATTGACGACCAACATAGCATTCATGTCTTCTTGTGTTACCTAGTGACTGTTTTGACCCTATGTTTTACACGTATATTCCGTGGGCCACAGATTTCAAACCTAGGAAGGTTGGTTGGGGACAAAAATGCTTCCAAGCTTTCAAACCCCTTTTTGTTTAGGGGACCATTTACATATGGTGCTATCTGGAAACGAAACACAGGTCAGAACGATGAATGCGGTCCACTGCTACTGTGCTTGTTCCAGAAATGGGCTGTCCATTTGCTGCTCCATCAGGACCAAAGCACTTGGAAGCATCTGCCATGCTGGTGCAAGTGTTCTTCAAGCGAGTGAATTTATCGCTAACGATGCTCTTCGCCACTCGCAAGCATCTTTCGCGCGAGGAAAATTGACTCTCTCCCTCCCCCTCTTCCGTGACTGGCGGTTTCGAGATGACGTGGAAGGGCGGTTGGTGGTGGCGCTGTTCGGCAAGCAGTCAATCTGCTCGCGCTGTACTGCTGTACAGTACTACAGTATAGCACTCGGCGGCTTCAATGTGTCACAGCAGAGCGGTTGCGATGAGGACCAAACTTTCCCTTCACCGACATGGCTCTTTCACCCCCTCCTTTTCCACGCCACATCCACGAGCCTGGCAACAGCCTCCCTCCAAATTGACACAGCAGCGGATTTCACAGCCACAAGAGTGCACTGCCATATTTTTGGTGACTGGCTGGACTGGAGTCACGACCTCCTTGTTCATCTCGTCAACCATGAGGCCCCTCACTTCCCTTCCGGTGTTTAGTTCGCGGTAGTACGTACACGTATTCTGTTTTAGTTCGTCCTGTTGCGATGACCTCCTTTGCAAAAAAGGAGAAGGCCCCGTCTTCTCAGCACAACTGTCTCAAGCAGACGTAAAATAGGATTCGTCTAGTCCTTACAAGTCAACTAATCGACTTCATTCGTACATATAACTGTCGCGTCGCCTCATGTCGCACCTGCCTCGGGAACCTCCTTCCGCACATCCGCGTGTATTTTGAGTCGACTAACTATTAAACCTCCTCTGTAGATACCGTCGCGTCGCCTCATGTCGCACCTCCCTCAGGGCAACCTCCTTCCGCTCGTCCGCGCCGGCGACATCGTCTCCATCTGGCATGACGTCATCCTCTTCGCCTCCCCTGGCGCGAGTAACTCTCCCCGCCGCGCCTCGCCGCGCGCCGCCTCCGCGGCGCGGGGCAAGACGACTACAATTCCCCTCCTCAACTTCATCTGCACTTCCTCCAAGTCTAGCTCGTTCGCCGCGTCGCTCGCCGGTCGCCGTCGTCGACTCGCGCTAGACGGCGCCGTCAAAGTCGACGACTCGGAGCAGCGGCCGTGGAACCTCGGGATTATCCCGCAGACGTGCGTTCTCGGGCCGTCCCCCGCAACCTCCGCCTCCACACTCCCCGAAAAAAACTCCTCCGCAGCAGCCGTCGACCTTTATCCACTCGATTCCTCTGTCGCCGATCCCGGCGACCCGTTCAGCCGTCCCGATGATTGCGGCGGGTTTCCCGTGATTCTGGACAACGCGCCGTTGGAGGCGGTGGAGGTCGGCGCGAAGGAGCGCGACCCTGGCGACGTGTTCCCCGTGCTGCCGCTCCTCGCGCTCCCCGTGCGCCTGCGGTCCGGCCTGGGGACGGAAGTGTCGTGGAAGCTGGTTGTTGTCGCGGCGGACGATCCGCTCGTTCTGGCCAATCAGGTGGCGACTATAGCGGAGACGATTCTACCGGGAGTTAAAGATTGGGCCGCGAGAGGTTTCAGAGGGTTCACAGAAGGATCAGGGGGGTTCGATTCCGACCGTTGGTGGATCCCCGAATCTCCGCAGCGCGATTCGGACGACTGGGAGCAAGCTGCGCGGAAGGCGCAGAGCGTGGTTCTCGAGGCGCACAGCATATGGAAGCTGCTGGTTTCCTCGCTCCGCCGCCCCACGCTGCAGCGGCGGCAGCGCGTGAGCGAGCGCACGGTGGATGGCTGGCGGGATAAGCGCGGCGCGGGGGACGATGGCTCGAGCAGCCTCTTACAGCTCGTCGCGCGACCCGGCGCCGGCGGTGCGCTTGGCGGATTTGGCGGGGTAAAGTCGACCAGAAACGGGAGGGTTGGGTTTGGGGGCGGCGGAGCGGCGCCAGGGGGGAGAGGAGGGCTCAGCAGGGGGAGATGTTCCGCCGCCGCCGCTGCGGCTGCTGTTGCGGCAGCTGAAGGGCGCTCGGCGCGCAACGAGAGTGATGAACTAAGGGATATGGGAGGCGGGGATGGGGAGGAGGAAGGGCGAGAGGGTGAGGGAACGAGGCCGCTGAGGCGGACGGCGAGTGTGGAGGATATGCGCGGCAGGCGCAGCGCGGAAAGCAGCAGCAGCGGTTCCGGCGGCGGGAAGCGCAGAGGCGTGCTGCCGCAGATTTCGCCGCGCTCCTTGTCGATGACAACCGTCGCGGCTGCGCGCGCGCTCGTGAAAACCGCCACGTGGAGCAGGGGATCTAGTCTTAACGGTACTAGCAGCGGTCGTGGTACTGATGATGGGGACGTTAGCAGTGAGAGGATAAGTGCTGGGAGTAAGAGCTGCGGTGCAAGTGCGGGTAATCGCAGAATCATGAGGAACTGCGATGACGAGGAAAATTATAACTTGAATCGGAGCAAAACTTGTATCGGAGCTGACACTACCCCTACCACCCTGATTCGGCCGCGTAGCAAATCGCCTTTGCCACGTCCGTTCTCGCCTAACTCTCGTAAAGGTTCGCCAGACGCGCAAAACTCTCATTATGACGATAGATCGTTAGGGCATGGCGCTGACGAAAGGCGACGTGGGTCCTCGGGTAGGGTTACCTCAATTGAGAAGACAGAGTATTCTTCCGAAGGGTTTCGGAAATCCGGTCTCGCAGACGAGCTTGGCGAATTTGACGAAAGTAGCGATTTGGGTGCGGTCGTGAAGGGCAAACCCGACACGCATCGCGCGTGGAACAGTGGACGGTTGGGATTTTCGTTCGGCAGCAAATCAGGAGACACCTCCACCAAGTCTTCCTCCTCCAAAACTACCAATTCCACCTGGGGAGGGCTGGGCTCCGACTTTTTTAGCGGGCCAGTATTTGGGAGGTTGGGTAAAAGCCGGACCATTCGTGAAAGTGACGGGCAGCCGATTGAAACATCATCTAGCAGGGGTTGGCAGCAGAAGGTGGGGAGTGGCAATGGTGGTGGGGGAGAATACGCTGCTGCTGCAGAAGGTGGTTTTGGTGGTGGAGGTGGTTATTACTGTCATAATAGTGATGGGAGCAGTTACGGTGTTACCAGTAGTGGTGGTGACAGGGGGAGGGGTGGGGCAAGGGGTGCGTTCAGCAGGAGTAACACGGCATCAAGTACCTACAGTTTCGTGAGTATGGGGAGCATGGCCAGCAGCCACAGCAGCCGCTGCAGCAAAAGCCCTGCTGCCACACCAGACCTCTCTGCTACCGCTACTGCCACTGCTGCTGCTGGGTATCATGGTGCAGGCAAGGGTCAGAGAGTCAACAGGTTAGTGGAAGATGAGCAAAGTGGGGGAACGGGTCTGGCAGCAGGCGCCAGAGGAACAGACAGCGGAAGCCACCCGTTCACCCCGCCTATGAGCCGGTCGAAGACGGACCCACAAAAGCGTGGTTCAGGGCGAGCGGGGCAGCAGCATTCTCACCGGGTCCTGTCACCCGCTGATGCGCACGATGCTGCTGCCTCTGCCAACGGCTATCACAATCATGACTCGGATGGTGCTAACAGCGACGATGATAACTTCGCATTTTCTGAGCAGGGCGGATCTGACAGCCTCACCTCAACGCCGGGCACCACAGGGCGAATTTCGCAGTATCCCTCCCCTCTACCCAGCCCGCCGGTGCTCACGCGACGCTGGTCCCTCACCTCTCGGGTGAGCTTCACAGGGGAAGGAGCCGGGGGGCAGAGTGGCCAGAATGTGTTTGAAGCGTCTGCTGGGGCTGCGGGCAGGGAAGTGGATGGTCGGCAGGGCAGACGGGGGCGGGCTGTTGGGTGCGAGGCAGCAGAGGGGGCAGTGGAGGAGTGGAGTGATGACTGCTCCAGCCAGGCGAGCTCTACCCATGCTGGTGTTGAGCCTGCCAACAGACAGCAACTGCGGGAACGGAGAATGTTGCCCAAATTATCCACACTCCCCAACTCAACCTCAGTGCCTAAATTACCCGCTCTGCACAAGTCACCCTCGCTGCCTAAATCACCCGCACTTTCCAAGTCGTCTACTATGACCAGGTCACCCGCCCTGCCCAAGTCACCCGCCCTGCCCAAGTCACCTTATGCAGAAAAGAATGTGTTGCGAGGGGGGGTCCGCATGGAACGACCACACCCTTCTGAGAGCAACCCCATGAGGGCATGTGAGGGCAGTATAGGAGGGAGCAGCAGGGGTGTTGCTTCTGAGGTGCCGCAAACCAGAGGAGGCACTAGGCGGGGTGAGCGGAGCAAGCAGCGGGGTGAGCAGCTGGTTCCGGAATGCTTTTCCACCGAGTCTGAAGTTCCCATGAGATCCATGAGTCCCAGGAGTGACATGGTCGCCAGAAGTATGTCATATGATCAGCCATCACAGCAGGTTGCAGCAATGATTGCTGCTGAAGCGCTGTTGCCAGAACCGCCAGGGCGGCGATTTGCAAGGAGCCAAACAGAAGCCAGTAACAGGCTGAATGCGGCAAAGGTTGCTGCTGAAGCGCCGCTGCCGGAACCGCCAGGGCGACGATTTGCGAGGAGCCAAACAGAAGCAAGTGAACGGGGGAGTGACAGGATGAACGCAGTTAGACCAAATTTCAGTCATGAGGCTAGAGCAGCAAGGGGGATCGGTAAAAGATCGAATGAATGTGACATGCAAGCTCGGCCTCCCAAGTCTCCTCTCGCCAGAATGGCATCTTCTGGAATTCTTCTTGCTCAGGGTGGTGCAGGCAGACGATGAGCTTTTGAGGGACTAGTGTGGTGGGATTGTGGCGGTGGTTGAGTGATGATGCTGGATAAGATTTGTGTGTGTGGGAATCGGAAAATCATAATTTTGTCAAGCTTGAAGCTCATGTTATTGCTTGTCTATCTTTGCATCCGCCAAATTTTGTTTTCTGCCAGATGTACCTTTAGTGTATATAATGATGTAAATTAGTATCATTATAGTGCTTTCGTTTCCCTCTAGTGATTCAGGTTGCTATTGGAGATGCCACACCCCAAAGCGACGCACAACCGTGAAGCGAACTGAATGCGACTAATGCAGCTCGCGACATTTTCGCTCGGATCCATCTATCGCCATCCCATCACCCAGTCACCCGTCATTTTCGCCCTCCATTTTCATTTTCGTCGTCGTCGCCGACCATACCCCCCGCGCAGGAACGACTAGAGTCTAGGCCGGGGAACTCCGCTACTGCTGGTGCTCCAAATTTCTCGCTGCAACCCTTCCCGAATTCCTTCCGACTCCATACCTCCTCCGTACCCCTATTTTCCTTGCCGCCCCCCTCCCAACCCCAAAGTTCGCTTTCAGCTTGAAGCGTCCCCGTCTCTCCGGCGCCTCCGCCTGCGACTCAGCCGACGTTCGCTAGGACGACGCACAATTTGTCCCGCGATGTCTCCCGGCGCTTGCCATGCTTCTGCTTCCCATCCCAGAATCCCGTCCGTCGTTTCTCTCTATGAAATTCTCTGGCAAGGCCTCGACGCGCAGTCGCACGGGTTATCGCACGATCAGTCGCTCATGCAATCGCACGTAGAAAATACAATTGACCGACAGGATCATCTCCTGCCTGAAGCGACCCTCCAGCTCGGTCGCTTAGTGCAGAGAAAGTCGCAACAGCAATCTCAACGTCTAAACTCAGAAACAGTGGAAGAGCGTACAGTAGAACAGCAGCAACAGCAGCACCAGCATCAACGGTCTCAGCTAATGGGTTGCTTCCCCTCTCGGTCATCCGTTGACTGTTGCTTTATTGCCGGCGCTGATACTGTAAAAACAAGTGCTAATATCGAGAGTAGCGGCACGTTCACGAGCACGAGCGGCATACAGAGTGGCTTGGATAGTACAGTGCCGCGTTCCAGACATATCCTCGGTCATCAAATTTCTCAGAAGCGAGGAGGACAAGAGCGGTCAGTTACTGTGGCTGGTGATGTAAAGTGCGGCAGCGGCTCGTACTGTCCATCCAAACCAAACACACAGCCCTTATGGGCCGATTCGTTACACACTGCTCCGTTAGGAGCCTCAGCACCATCATCCTCGTTAATGGAAAGCAGTGAGCCGGCATCAGAAAGGGTGCACCAGGTTCCGGACGAAGTGCTGCAGCAAATCTTCAGCCGTCTCAGCGTGGTAAGCTTATATCGAGTTGTTATATCGAGTCAAAAGGTCAGTTGGTGACCACTATCCTTTCGTTCTCCTTCCCCTGCCTCCGTTCGTTCCCTTCCATTCTTTCCGACCGTTCTAAAGCGTGCTGCACTGGGCTCGTCTGCCCCTGCTAGTTCTTTTCAGCCTGCTCCCAACTCCCCTTGCCGTTTTTCTGACACACCCAATCCCTCACCCTTCCTCCCCCTCCCCCCTCCCCCCTCCCCCCTCCCCCCTTCACCCTTCACCCCTAAATTCTCACCCGGATTTCTCTCCCCCCACCTGCGCTTCTCTTTGTCTCTTTCCATCTCTCACTCACTCTTACTAATTCCAACGATCCCCCTTCCCCTGTGGCCCACCCACCCGTGCAACTCCACTCCTACTCACTCCCGTTTTCTCCAGCGGCACCCATCTCTACTCCACTCCACCATTTCGTACCCCGCAGTTTTGGCTCTGCTTCTGTCCGTGTCTGCATCACACCCCTCGCCCCGTCCCTCCCTCCGCCAGGCCAGGCTGACCTCCCCCGCATGGCGCCTGTGTGCTGCCACTTTTCAAGGCGATTTTGTAGGCGTCTTAAAATGCTCCCTCGCGTGACGCCGGCGTGTGTGTGTGTGTGTGCGTGTGTGCGTCACTGCCTCTGTGTGTGTGTGTGTGTGTGTGTGTGTGTGTGTGTGTGTGTGCGTCACTGCCTTATTTCAAGTCGCCTCAGAAATCCGCTCCCGCGCATCCCGTCCGCATCATCCGTCTCGCATCCCCATCTCGCTCCCACACATCCCCATCTCGCTCCCACACATCCCCATCTCGCTCCCACACATCCCCATCTCGCTCCCACACATCCCCATCTCGCTCCCACACATCCCCATCTCGCTCCCACACATCCCCATCTCGCTCCCACACATCCCCATCTCGCTCCCACACATCCCCATCTCGCTCCCACACATCCCCATCTCGCTCCCACACATCCCCATCTCGCTCCCACACATCCCCATCTCGCTCCCACACATCCCCATCTCGCTCCCACACATCCCCATCTCGCTCCCACACATCCCCATCTCGCTCCCACACATCCCCATCTCGCTCCCACACATCCCCATCTCGCTCCCACACATCCCCATCTCGCTCCCACACATCCCCATCTCGCTCCCACACATCCCCATCTCGCTCCCACACATCCCCATCTCGCTCCCACACATCCCCATCTCGCTCCCACACATCCCCATCTCGCTCCCACACATCCCCATCTCGCTCCCACACATCCCCATCTCGCTCCCACACATCCCCATCTCGCTCCCACACATCCCCATCTCGCTCCCACACATCCCCATCTCGCTCCCACACATCCCCATCTCGCTCCCACACATCCCCATCTCGCTCCCACACATCCCCATCTCGCTCCCACACATCCCCATCTCGCTCCCACACATCCCCATCTCGCTCCCACACATCCCCATCTCGCTCCCACACATCCCCATCTCGCTCCCACACATCCCCATCTCGCTCCCACACATCCCCATCTCGCTCCCACACATCCCCATCTCGCTCCCACACATCCCCATCTCGCTCCCACACATCCCCATCTCGCTCCCACACATCCCCATCTCGCTCCCACACATCCCCATCTCGCTCCCACACATCCCCATCTCGCTCCCACACATCCCCATCTCGCTCCCACACATCCCCATCTCGCTCCCACACATCCCCATCTCGCTCCCACACATCCCCATCTCGCTCCCACACATCCCCATCTCGCTCCCACACATCCCCATCTCGCTCCCACACATCCCCATCTCGCTCCCACACATCCCCATCTCGCTCCCACACATCCCCATCTCGCTCCCACACATCCCCATCTCGCTCCCACACATCCCCATCTCGCTCCCACACATCCCCATCTCGCTCCCACACATCCCCATCTCGCTCCCACACATCCCCATCTCGCTCCCACACATCCCCATCTCGCTCCCACACATCCCCATCTCGCTCCCACACATCCCCATCTCGCTCCCACACATCCCCATCTCGCTCCCACACATCCCCATCTCGCTCCCACACATCCCCATCTCGCTCCCACACATCCCCATCTCGCTCCCACACATCCCCATCTCGCTCCCACACATCCCCATCTCGCTCCCACACATCCCCATCTCGCTCCCACACATCCCCATCTCGCTCCCACACATCCCCATCTCGCTCCCACACATCCCCATCTCGCTCCCACACATCCCCATCTCGCTCCCACACATCCCCATCTCGCTCCCACACATCCCCATCTCGCTCCCACACATCCCCATCTCGCTCCCACACATCCCCATCTCGCTCCCACACATCCCCATCTCGCTCCCACACATCCCCATCTCGCTCCCACACATCCCCATCTCGCTCCCACACATCCCCATCTCGCTCCCACACATCCCCATCTCGCTCCCACACATCCCCATCTCGCTCCCACACATCCCCATCTCGCTCCCACACATCCCCATCTCGCTCCCACACATCCCCATCTCGCTCCCACACATCCCCATCTCGCTCCCACACATCCCCATCTCGCTCCCACACATCCCCATCTCGCTCCCACACATCCCCATCTCGCTCCCACACATCCCCATCTCGCTCCCACACATCCCCATCTCGCTCCCACACATCCCCATCTCGCTCCCACACATCCCCATCTCGCTCCCACACATCCCCATCTCGCTCCCACACATCCCCATCTCGCTCCCACACATCCCCATCTCGCTCCCACACATCCCCATCTCGCTCCCACACATCCCCATCTCGCTCCCACACATCCCCATCTCGCTCCCACACATCCCCATCTCGCTCCCACACATCCCCATCTCGCTCCCACACATCCCCATCTCGCTCCCACGCATCCCCATCTCGCTCCCACGCATCCCCATCTCGCTCCCACGCATCCCCATCTCGCTCCCACGCATCCCCATCTCGCTCCCACGCATCCCCATCTCGCTCCCACGCATCCCCATCTCGCTCCCACGCATCCCCATCTCGCTCCCACGCATCCCCATCTCGCTCCCACGCATCCCCATCTCGCTCCCACGCATCCCCATCTCGCTCCCACGCATCCCCATCTCGCTCCCACGCATCCCCATCTCGCTCCCACGCATCCCCATCTCGCTCCCACGCATCCCCATCTCGCTCCCACGCATCCCCATCTCGCTCCCACGCATCCCCATCTCGCTCCCACGCATCCCCATCTCGCTCCCACGCATCCCCATCTCGCTCCCACGCATCCCCATCTCGCTCCCACGCATCCCCATCTCGCTCCCACGCATCCCCATCTCGCTCCCACGCATCCCCATCTCGCTCCCACGCATCCCCATCTCGCTCCCACGCATCCCCATCTCGCTCCCACGCATCCCCATCTCGCTCCCACGCATCCCCATCTCGCTCCCACGCATCCCCATCTCGCTCCCACGCATCCCCATCTCGCTCCCACACATCCCCATCTCGCTCCCACACATCCCCATCTCGCTCCCACACATCCCCATCTCGCTCCCACACATCCCCATCTCGCTCCCACACATCCCCATCTCGCTCCCACACATCCCCATCTCGCTCCCACACATCCCCATCTCGCTCCCACGCATCCCCATCTCGCTCCCACGCATCCCCATCTCGCTCCCACGCATCCCCATCTCGCTCCCACGCATCCCCATCTCGCTCCCACGCATCCCCATCTCGCTCCCACGCATCCCCATCTCGCTCCCACGCATCCCCATCTCGCTCCCACGCATCCCCATCTCGCTCCCACGCATCCCCATCTCGCTCCCACGCATCCCCATCTCGCTCCCACGCATCCCCATCTCGCTCCCACGCATCCCCATCTCGCTCCCACGCATCCCCATCTCGCTCCCACGCATCCCCATCTCGCTCCCACGCATCCCCATCTCGCTCCCACGCATCCCCATCTCGCTCCCACGCATCCCCATCTCGCTCCCACGCATCCCCATCTCGCTCCCACGCATCCCCATCTCGCTCCCACGCATCCCCATCTCGCTCCCACGCATCCCCATCTCGCTCCCACGCATCCCCATCTCGCTCCCACGCATCCCCATCTCGCTCCCACGCATCCCCATCTCGCTCCCACGCATCCCCATCTCGCTCCCACGCATCCCCATCTCGCTCCCCACGCATCCCCATCTCGCTCCCACACATCCCCATCTCGCTCCCACACATCCCCATCTCGCTCCCACACATCCCCATCTCGCTCCCACACATCCCCATCTCGCTCCCACACATCCCCATCTCGCTCCCACACATCCCCATCTCGCTCCCACACATCCCCATCTCGCTCCCACACATCCCCATCTCGCTCCCACACATCCCCATCTCGCTCCCACACATCCCCATCTCGCTCCCACACATCCCCATCTCGCTCCCACACATCCCCATCTCGCTCCCACACATCCCCATCTCGCTCCCACACATCCCCATCTCGCTCCCACACATCCCCATCTCGCTCCCACACATCCCCATCTCGCTCCCACACATCCCCATCTCGCTCCCACACATCCCCATCTCGCTCCCACACATCCCCATCTCGCTCCCACACATCCCCATCTCGCTCCCACACATCCCCATCTCGCTCCCACACATCCCCATCTCGCTCCCACACATCCCCATCTCGCTCCCACACATCCCCATCTCGCTCCCACACATCCCCATCTCGCTCCCACACATCCCCATCTCGCTCCCACACATCCCCATCTCGCTCCCACACATCCCCATCTCGCTCCCACACATCCCCATCTCGCTCCCACACATCCCCATCTCGCTCCCACACATCCCCATCTCGCTCCCACACATCCCCATCTCGCTCCCACACATCCCCATCTCGCTCCCACACATCCCCATCTCGCTCCCACACATCCCCATCTCGCTCCCACACATCCCCATCTCGCTCCCACACATCCCCATCTCGCTCCCACACATCCCCATCTCGCTCCCACACATCCCCATCTCGCTCCCACACATCCCCATCTCGCTCCCACACATCCCCATCTCGCTCCCACACATCCCCATCTCGCTCCCACACATCCCCATCTCGCTCCCACACATCCCCATCTCGCTCCCACACATCCCCATCTCGCTCCCACACATCCCCATCTCGCTCCCACACATCCCCATCTCGCTCCCACACATCCCCATCTCGCTCCCACACATCCCCATCTCGCTCCCACACATCCCCATCTCGCTCCCACACATCCCCATCTCGCTCCCACACATCCCCATCTCGCTCCCACACATCCCCATCTCGCTCCCACACATCCCCATCTCGCTCCCACACATCCCCATCTCGCTCCCACACATCCCCATCTCGCTCCCACACATCCCCATCTCGCTCCCACACATCCCCATCTCGCTCCCACACATCCCCATCTCGCTCCCACACATCCCCATCTCGCTCCCACACATCCCCATCTCGCTCCCACACATCCCCATCTCGCTCCCACACATCCCCATCTCGCTCCCACACATCCCCATCTCGCTCCCACACATCCCCATCTCGCTCCCACACATCCCCATCTCGCTCCCACACATCCCCATCTCGCTCCCACACATCCCCATCTCGCTCCCACACATCCCCATCTCGCTCCCACACATCCCCATCTCGCTCCCACACATCCCCATCTCGCTCCCACACATCCCCATCTCGCTCCCACACATCCCCATCTCGCTCCCACACATCCCCATCTCGCTCCCACACATCCCCATCTCGCTCCCACACATCCCCATCTCGCTCCCACACATCCCCATCTCGCTCCCACACATCCCCATCTCGCTCCCACACATCCCCATCTCGCTCCCACACATCCCCATCTCGCTCCCACACATCCCCATCTCGCTCCCACACATCCCCATCTCGCTCCCACACATCCCCATCTCGCTCCCACACATCCCCATCTCGCTCCCACACATCCCCATCTCGCTCCCACACATCCCCATCTCGCTCCCACACATCCCCATCTCGCTCCCACACATCCCCATCTCGCTCCCACACATCCCCATCTCGCTCCCACACATCCCCATCTCGCTCCCACACATCCCCATCTCGCTCCCACACATCCCCATCTCGCTCCCACACATCCCCATCTCGCTCCCACACATCCCCATCTCGCTCCCACACATCCCCATCTCGCTCCCACACATCCCCATCTCGCTCCCACACATCCCCATCTCGCTCCCACACATCCCCATCTCGCTCCCACACATCCCCATCTCGCTCCCACACATCCCCATCTCGCTCCCACACATCCCCATCTCGCTCCCACACATCCCCATCTCGCTCCCACACATCCCCATCTCGCTCCCACACATCCCCATCTCGCTCCCACACATCCCCATCTCGCTCCCACACATCCCCATCTCGCTCCCACACATCCCCATCTCGCTCCCACACATCCCCATCTCGCTCCCACACATCCCCATCTCGCTCCCACACATCCCCATCTCGCTCCCACGCATCCCCATCTCGCTCCCACGCATCCCCATCTCGCTCCCACGCATCCCCATCTCGCTCCCACGCATCCCCATCTCGCTCCCACACATCCCCATCTCGCTCCCACGCATCCCCATCTCGCTCCCACGCATCCCCATCTCGCTCCCACGCATCCCCATCTCGCTCCCACGCATCCCCATCTCGCTCCCACGCATCCCCATCTCGCTCCCACGCATCCCCATCTCGCTCCCACGCATCCCCATCTCGCTCCCACGCATCCCCATCTCGCTCCCACGCATCCCCATCTCGCTCCCACGCATCCCCATCTCGCTCCCACGCATCCCCATCTCGCTCCCACGCATCCCCATCTCGCTCCCACGCATCCCCATCTCGCTCCCACGCATCCCCATCTCGCTCCCACGCATCCCCATCTCGCTCCCACGCATCCCCATCTCGCTCCCACGCATCCCCATCTCGCTCCCACGCATCCCCATCTCGCTCCCACGCATCCCCATCTCGCTCCCACGCATCCCCATCTCGCTCCCACGCATCCCCATCTCGCTCCCACGCATCCCCATCTCGCTCCCACGCATCCCCATCTCGCTCCCACGCATCCCCATCTCGCTCCCACGCATCCCCATCTCGCTCCCACGCATCCCCATCTCGCTCCCACGCATCCCCATCTCGCTCCCACGCATCCCCATCTCGCTCCCACGCATCCCCATCTCGCTCCCACGCATCCCCATCTCGCTCCCACGCATCCCCATCTCGCTCCCACGCATCCCCATCTCGCTCCCACGCATCCCCATCTCGCTCCCACGCATCCCCATCTCGCTCCCACGCATCCCCATCTCGCTCCCACGCATCCCCATCTCGCTCCCACGCATCCCCATCTCGCTCCCACGCATCCCCATCTCGCTCCCACGCATCCCCATCTCGCTCCCACGCATCCCCATCTCGCTCCCACGCATCCCCATCTCGCTCCCACGCATCCCCATCTCGCTCCCACGCATCCCCATCTCGCTCCCACGCATCCCCATCTCGCTCCCACGCATCCCCATCTCGCTCCCACGCATCCCCATCTCGCTCCCACGCATCCCCATCTCGCTCCCACGCATCCCCATCTCGCTCCCACGCATCCCCATCTCGCTCCCACGCATCCCCATCTCGCTCCCACGCATCCCCATCTCGCTCCCACGCATCCCCATCTCGCTCCCACGCATCCCCATCTCGCTCCCACGCATCCCCATCTCGCTCCCACGCATCCCCATCTCGCTCCCACGCATCCCCATCTCGCTCCCACGCATCCCCATCTCGCTCCCACGCATCCCCATCTCGCTCCCACGCATCCCCATCTCGCTCCCACGCATCCCCATCTCGCTCCCACGCATCCCCATCTCGCTCCCACGCATCCCCATCTCGCTCCCACGCATCCCCATCTCGCTCCCACGCATCCCCATCTCGCTCCCACGCATCCCCATCTCGCTCCCACGCATCCCCATCTCGCTCCCACGCATCCCCATCTCGCTCCCACGCATCCCCATCTCGCTCCCACGCATCCCCATCTCGCTCCCACGCATCCCCATCTCGCTCCCACGCATCCCCATCTCGCTCCCACGCATCCCCATCTCGCTCCCACGCATCCCCATCTCGCTCCCACGCATCCCCATCTCGCTCCCACGCATCCCCATCTCGCTCCCACGCATCCCCATCTCGCTCCCACGCATCCCCATCTCGCTCCCACGCATCCCCATCTCGCTCCCACGCATCCCCATCTCGCTCCCACGCATCCCCATCTCGCTCCCACGCATCCCCATCTCGCTCCCACGCATCCCCATCTCGCTCCCACGCATCCCCATCTCGCTCCCACGCATCCCCATCTCGCTCCCACGCATCCCCATCTCGCTCCCACGCATCCCCATCTCGCTCCCACGCATCCCCATCTCGCTC